GGCCTTGGCGATCCTGGCGTGCAGCTCGGGGTGGGCGAACCACTGGTCCAGCCAGGCCGCCAGCTGCTCTCGCGGGATGCTCTTGGCTGGATCACCTCTGCCGTAGAGCATGGCGAGGGTGCTGGTGAGGCACCGCCCTGGCCCGCGCCCTGCTGCCGCCTGCGCCGCCTGCCTCCTCAGCCTGAGGATCTCGTAGTGCGGCAGGCCCTGCACCTGGTGGCCGTAGGTGCCCTGTGCTCGAGCTCCTGTCGTCCAGAGGCCCTTGGTCACTACTTTGAGCCTTGCCATCCTGCGCATCCTCCTGATGGCGTGGGCTCGCCTGGCGGCCTTTTGCATTCTCTGTCTGCCTTTGCGTCGTGTGCGCATGCTCGCGGCGTTGCAGTCCACGCCCAGGTCAGTGAAGTTGCCCTCAGCCTTGGCGGGTATGCCGCGTTGCTGGAGGCCTTTTGCAATGGCGATGGCCAGCTTCGGAGAGCTTGCTATCACCGTGGTCTTCGGGGAGACCGTGAGGCCCGCCTCTTTGAGGCACTCGCCCAGCATGGCGCCGTTGTCGATCAGCTGCTTCTCCACGTTGGCCTCGGTGCCTGGGGAGCGCAGGACCGTGTCGTGTACGAACGTCCAGAGGCCTATGTCCGCCTGCTTCGTGAGCTGCGCACGGTGGAGGATGGGCCCCATGAAGGCCTTGGCCAGCCGTACACCCTCTGGAGAGCCAGCCAGGATGGAGCGCCACGGCTGGACCTCCCTGCTGACCCACTGCCGCTCCTTCAGCAGCCTCGGCGCCAGGCGCATCTGAACCTCAAGGCAGAGCACGATGGGCGGGTATCCTTGCTCCAGCGCGTGCTGCACAAGCCTGACCACGCTGATGCTGTCGTAGAAATTGGCCAGGTCTAACAGTAGAGTGGCCGTGGTTATTCCCATTTCTTTCGCTGATTCGTCAAGAGTGGCTCGAAGGATGCTGGCCCGTAGGGCCGACGAGCCTCGTATTGCTGTGTCCCAGAACTCGCTCAGGTTGACGCTCCACTCGCTCGTGATGCTGCCCCTGAGCTTGCTCCACGTCTTCATGACGAACGGGAGCTGGCCTAGGATCCTGTCGCCCCCTCCCTTTTCTTTGGGCACAACAGATCCGATGGTCGCGAGCATCTGCCTTGGCCACGCTCCGACCTCCTCGATGTCATTGAGGAGGTCGATCATTCCTTGCCTCCCCTCAGTCGGGAGCCTTTGCACCTCCAGCGGCCCGATGTTGTCGATCCCTTTGGCCTTGGTGGCTGCGATGGCGGGGGGCAGGCGGTCCAGCTGCTGCAGCTGGAGCGGGGCCAAGGGTTGCTGCCAGGCGCGGCCCATGGCAATGTGGATGCCGTCGAGGATCTGGTCGGGGGTCACGCTGGGGTCGGCCCAGTGCTTTTCCCATTCGTCAGCTCGGTTGCTCATGATCTGGTCAGGGTCCGCCACGGATCTCCCTTGCTGGATCTTCTCAACTGTCTCAGGTCTCGGATCCTTGACCATGTTGTGGAGGTGCCGCGGAGCTTCATTCCACATCTTGATTGCCCAGCTCTGGTAGGCCTTCCTCGACTTGGTGAGTGCCTGCCCGACGGCCCTCCCTTGGTACCTCTCGCTGGTCTCGATGACGGGGATCACATCCTCGACGGGGATGTCCTGCAGCGTCCTCATCATGGCCTTCCAGTTTCTGAACTCCTCGCCGTCGTCCTTGTTGAACACCTCGTGGATCTGCATCTCCTCGGCCTTCTGCATGATCTCGACTATCTTGCCGTTGCAGCTGGCGGCCTCTGTGATCCTGTCGGTGCGCCTGAGCATCTCGTAGCGCTTGAGGAGCGCCACCGCAATGTGCCACCACTCGAGGTGTGGGTCTCGGAGGTGCGCTCGCGCCGGCGTGGCCGAGGTCCTGACCCACTTGATGGCATATCCTCTTCCTCTGCCCATGTAGGCGTCCTGTTTGTCTGTGTCGATCTCGTGGTGCTGGAGGGTCGCAAGCTCCAGGGTCGTGATCCACCTCGCGCAGTGGCTGTCGATCTTCTGCTGGCCCTGTGGATCCCTCATCAGCAAGAAGTGGTACTTGCTCTGTTTGCATCTCGATGTTGCTGTCGGTGGGGCGGCTGGTCTCTGCCAGGCTGTCACTCCTGGGGTCAGTCCTCTGGCTTCAACTGCTACACTCGCTTCTTCCCATACTTGCACTGGGATGTTGAAGGCCGTGGTGGGTACAGCCTCCCTGGTGTCATCATCTTCGTCGAGATCATCGTACATCTCGTCAAAGGCGGCCTGCAGGTGCTCGTGGAGCCTGGCGCGCCTCTCCTCCTTGGCCTTCTGAATGCCCTTCTGCCTCTTGCTGTTCGGGTCGGCCTGCTTCTTGGGCCGCGGGACCGTGGGGAGCTCGTGCGCGATGTCCAGCTTCCTGTGCCACCACCTCTGCTTGCCGTCCTTTATCGTGAGCTTCAGGCCTATGTGATCCTTCCAAGGGACCTCCTCGACCGCCTGCAGCTTCAGGTGGCCTGTCGTACCTTTCGAGACGAGGGCATAGTCGATGGCGCTGCCCGATCCCCTGTTGCACGTGGCGGTGCAGTTCTCCACCAGCAGCCTCTCCGCGTTGAGCTTCATGAGCCATTGTGTCTTATCCCATTCGTCTGGCGTGATGTTCCAGTCGCCCAAGACCACCCAGGGGTCACGCAGCTGGCGGAGGAAGGCACCGAGCCTTACCAGGGTCCGCTGGTTGGCCTCCTTGAACCCGAGCTGCGGGAGGAGATAGGCACTGACGATCACGATGTTTCCCGACTTGAGGTGCCAGCACGTCGGGCAGAACCCCTCGAACGGGTCCTGGCCAGATTTGTTTCTGCCTGCTTCTCTCCATGCCTCGAATGAAGTTGCCTGTATCTGCTTCTTGGCCAATATCCACTCGCCTCCAGAGGAGCCCGTCGCAGAGCGTCCCGTCAATCTCGCTGGTGTGCCAAGTAGCATCCATCCGTCTCGTGACAATTCACAACGCGCCTTGCTTGTCACTTCGTCACTAGCATGTGTCTCGACCAGGCCGATGATGTCGTAGCTCTCGGCCTGGGCCCGCATGAAGCCTCTCGCCTGCGGGCCCCACTTCGTGATGTTGCTGAAGAATGCTGTCGCGTCCGTGCAGCGCTGCCTCTTGGCGCACTGCGTGCTGGCTGCCTCCTGTCCCAGAGCGTCCGCAGCCTGGGCTCCTGCGCCTCCGTCGGCCTCGTCCCCGCTAGGGAGACGACCGCCCTCCCGCTGGGGCCCCTTGGAGGCCGCTCGGCTCCCGCCGCGCGGCTTGGCAGCTCTGCCAGCGCCGCCAGCAGCAGGAGCAGGAGCGGCCGCAGCCAGGGGCGGGCCGCCGCTGGCGCCGCTGGTGGCCGCTGCCGCCGCAGCGGGGCCTGGGCCGCCAGAGGGGGCCGCTGCGCCGCTGCCGCTGGGCGGCGGGGGCCAGGCTGGCAGGCGGCTGCGCGCGTCGGCGATGGACTGCTCGAGGGTGGCCGCGAGCAGTTCGGGGTCAGTCTTGTCCAGGCCAGGGACAGCGATGCTCTCGACCGCCTGCTCATCGTCGCCCGCCATGGCGACATCAGGCTGCTCCTGGGCAACCTGCTGCGCTGGGGCCTCAGCCGCGCTGGCGGCCTCGACCCGCGCCCGCTTGTGCGGGCATGCCTTGATCTCCTCGATCTTGGCCCACATCTCCCTGACCTTGGCGTCCTCGGCGACCATGGTCTGGTAAGCGGTGTCGAGGGCTGCACGGTGGCCCTCCAACTCCCTCCTCTTCTCCTCGTCGAGCTGGTCGAGGCCCTCGTTGAGGAGGGACATGTCGAACGTGAAGATGACCTTCTTGCCGTCGCTGGTGGTGGTGTCGTCCGCTGGGCGCCTGTGCACGGTCGAGGCCAGCGACTGGACCGCATCCTCATGGTCCTTCTTTGCCTTGATTCTCTCGGTGCACGCCAAGACGTGTGCCTCCTTAGCCTTCCTGGTGGCGTACTCGGCCTTGACGAGCGCGTCGGCGGCCTTCTGGAGCGCCGCCTCCTTCTGCTCAAGGATGGCGGCCGTGGACTGGACCTGCTGCGACGGAGTCCTCGTCTTGGCCTCCGTCTCGGTCTTGGCTGCAAGGTTCTTTTTTGCCTGCTCCACTGCATCGTCAAGGAGGATGGCGGCACAGAGCTCCAGCGCCTTCTTGAGCTGCTCTGCAACGCTCTGCTGGGTGGTCCCACTGCTGCCACCGTTGCCGCCCCAGCGACGGCCATGCTGCCTGCCCTCACGCCACGGCGATCCCGCAGCGACGTCGATGGCAGCAGATTGTCCTCCCTGCGGCTTGTACAATTGTAGCTTGGCTCCGCATTTGATGCACTTCCCGTTGTTGCGTTCGATCCTGAAGTTGAACGCCCACTGCCCGCACCCGCACACCGTGAATGGCTGCCTGCACCCATTCGAGAAACCCATGGTGTGATGTGGCAGAGAGCGAGGGCTTGTACCGAACAGCGGTGGCTGTCGGGGGGAACGTGGCCCTGAAAGGAACGGGGTATGGCTCGGACTAGAGCTATCCGTTTTGGCACGGAGGCGCGGAGCCCCCCCCTGCTAGGCATCTTGAGCCAAAATGGCTACGGAGGAGGAGGAGGAGGAGGAGGAGGGAAAGGCCCCCCGAGGCCTCTGGAACTTCCCTGGAAACCTCGGCGGTCCAAGGAGGCCCCCCGATGCACCTGGAGGCCCAAGACTTAAGACTTCGATCCTTAATGCTTGGACATCGCTACTGTAGAAGCACCCACGAGCTGCCAGATGTCACGAGCATTGCCTCCATGCAGTGCTCCGACGAGGCTCCGATGGATGATGGGATCCCGCAGCCCATGGTTCTGACAAGACCCCAGGGAAAAGCACACCCTTTAACTGATCGCACTATTCGCTTCGTTTCCCTCCTCCTCCTCCTCCTCCTCCTCCTCCTCCTCCTACTCCTTCTCCTCCTCCTGCTTCTCCAGCTCCTCATTCAGCTCCTCGTCGATGTATGT